CAGAAACGACCATTTTGGAGAAAAAACAAAAATAGACACACAACAACGATAGTTGCGACGACGACAATAACGGAAAAATTGAGAATCGGAATCAGAAAAAAGTAGAAGTAGCAGAGACCGCTCCGAGTTGCAACTATTGTGCCGCTACGATAGTTGCAAGGCCGTTGCGAACAACGGTGAAGGTTGGAAAAACAGCCTTCCGGAAGGAGAATAAGAGTCTTATTTCCCCGGATTCAAGAATCCGGAGGGGTCTCGGGATTTGAACTGAAACTCTTTTATACAAACTTTTAGCTTCCCTATTATGTCCTGAATTGAATTTAATTAGCATCTGAATTCATTTTGCAAGGATGAGAAGCTAGGAGTTGGGGGGAAGGGTTGATCCATCTCCGATGGAGATGATGATTTTTATCTACTGAGCAAAAACAATAATAATTCAATAAATAGTAGTAGCCCTGATTTTAGGAGTGACCTCGTGGTCTGGGGATACTGAGACCCAGCCATGAGCTCACTATTTCTGCATGTAATTAAGTTAATTTGAGCGTTCTGGTCGAAGCCGGAGAACAGTAACGTTTTTGTCGACCCGATGTTGGAAAGATCACCAAAAGAACTGGCTTGGTAGAGACGGTGAAAAGCATGTAGAGCTCTGTTTAGACGTTGGCCAGCCGTCTTAGAACCTAGCTTTATTTTCCGTCGATATGTACTTCCGGGCGAATGTTACATTGTCTTATCGTCTGAATAACACTGTTGATCCTCTAAAACTGCCAATTCGGAAGGTTAGCTGCTAGCCCTCCGTAACTGTCTTTTTGTCAATTCTGGTCGAATATCACATTCTTTCAAGAAAACAACACATTAACCTTGTTTAACAGGTTGCATCTTTAAATGGAAGAAATGAAATTGATTAATATAGATACCGCTCTGATGACAATAAATCCGACAGCGGATGGGTTGATGGACTTAGTTTTAAACTTCGAATTTAACATTCATTACAAAATGATTTGTATCCGTAAAATTTTTCTGAAGATCCGTAAAGCTTCATGGTAATGCAAGGTTAAGAGGTTTGTTTTTGAAATCGATATCGGGGTACACCAAGGCAGCGTGCTATAACTCATTTTGTTTGTAATTTCCCTGAAAGATTTCCTGAGCAATGAAAAGTGTCTTTTCACATTTCAGATGACAGCGTCATTCGTTTTTAAGGAGTGAACAACTAGGATGGATAGCAAAAGCTAAGCTAATCCTAGACTAAGCTAAATTAAGCAAAAACTAAGCTAAACGTAGTAAGTTATTGCAGGAAAAAAGTGGGAGACAACGGTGCAAAAACTGAAATTTTACTGATGAATTTTGATAAGAAATCTTTCACTCCACCATATCTGAGCATGGAAATTTGCTCAGTTAAGCATTCATTGAAAACCATCGGCTTAAATTGTGATGAACACCTGCACAAAAAAGAACAAGCTGATGAAATTTATCAAAAAACTAAACGCAGCTGGAATAACGCTTCATAAAGGTGTGGGGTGGAAATGGAGCCTGTCAACTCCAGAAATAATTAAATACTTATGCTCAATAAAACTATCATAAGTATGCAACTGTTGTAAGTATCTTCCATTTGGTCTGATCATAACATTTTTAAGACTGAGAAGCACTGGAAAACTTTTCTCTCTGATTTCAGAGAAATTGCTATGAATGAAATCCTCCCTTAAATAGGAGTTTTTTATATAATTTATAAGTATATTGATTTCAAGCATTTACTGTGTATCCGGATCTGGAAATATCAGTCTCACTATCTGCGGTAAGTCTTCGAGGGGGAGTGAACTGTTTAGTTGAAGTAGTAGTAAAAGTAATGGCAGGTGAATAGCCGGTTTTAGATCTTTTCGAGGAATGTGATGTAATTTTTTTAAAGCTGTTTCTTGGCGGAACTCTTTGTAGATAATGTAAAGCTCTTGAACAGAAATTTTTGCCATTTTTCGAAGGCGATGTTTTCTTTATGATCAACTTTTGATCAACTGAACTCGTGTTCATGGTTCTTGAAGTGCACCTGCTCAAACTGTCGATCTTGACTTGATATTTTTGTTTTTATTTTTGCCTTAATTTATTATTTAAGGGAATTAATTCTTTCTTCTCCTTCTTCTTCTTCTTCTTAGCTCCAATTCACTGCCTTGGCTCGCAATTTTGGGCCTTAGGTTACTGCGCTGTGTTTTTAACTACGGATTTTCCACCCATCGTTGATTGCAAAAACTGTACGTCATGGAGTTCTATGTACGTCAAAAGCGGTAGCGTATTCAATGCGACGAGTCTTTCCTTGTAATTTTAAGCTTCGTGTAATATCCATGTTGCTTATTTCTGATTAACTCCTTCTACATCCTTCATTCCTACTTTTGATGAGTACTATACCTGCATTGCATATGAGATGAAAGAGACTATATATCCAACGTAGGCGTTCAGTTTGGTATCTTGGTTATGGTAGACGAAATTACTTGTTTGAGTTTAAAGAATGCGCTCCATGCTGTGTATACGCTTTGTTTAATTTTTTCGGCGCACGCCCGAGGTTTTTTCGACTCCTATGTTCTTGTGGAGGTTAACGGAACCAAGTTTGGCTGTTAATGACTTTTCCGGTTCAGATTCTCTTTTTATGCAAAGAACTTGCTATTTCCAAGATTCAGGGCCATTGCATTTTGGTGATTCCATTTTTTAATTTGAGTTTTGTAGACAAGCGGACTAAAGAATTGTTCAAGCGTTGTGAAATATTTTCAACAAAAATTTACAATTTAGAGTTTTTTTGTTTGATTGATTGATTAATTTCCTAAACTCGACTCTGCTTTATTTTTCACGCCGTTGGAGAACCTCAATAACTGATGCATTATTCTCTTCTCAAAAACTGGTGCATTACCCAAATTGTTCGATTTTGTTTCACAAACAAATGAAGGAATACCTTCTCTCAAATATCTTACTAGGCAACATCCAGTTCTGTTTCAGGACCTTTTCAATAATTGATGCAATTTCATTATTCATCATGCAATTGAATCACCAAATTTGTTGTGACAACAGAAAACAATATTCAATAACACCGAATCAGATTGGATTTCAATTTATTAAGGCCCCCCGCAGGGCAGCGTATTAGGACCTCTGATATTTACTGTGTAATAACGATTCAAGCTAGCAATTAAAGAACTCACACAAAGAAGTACGGTACGCAGATGACCCATTTGAGAAAATCATGAAGCAGGTTTTGCATTAAAAAAATTGAAAACAGTTGCCAAAATTGTTCAATTTTTTTTTACAGGCATTCATTATAAAAGATACTGAAAATATGAAACTTATCATATTCAGCTAAAAACATTCGCTAATTTTTTTTTCATTTATTCTACAGCAAAACGTAACCGAAGTAAACACCTATATAAAATACCTCGGAGTAGAACTAGACCAGTTTTCATTGTTACAAGGGGAAGGTAAAATGATAGTAGGAAAAATAGCCTGCGGAATTGAAACATTACAGTAAATCAAAAACCATTCCAATTAAATTCGCTTACTAATATTGAACTCAAAACTTACTTGTCATTTTAATTACTCGGCTGTTTTGTTTATTGGAATAATAGCAAACTTAATGGCAACACTTGAGAGACTACGAAGCTGGGCCATAAAAGTATGCTGTGTCAGGGCAAATTTCGATTCATCGTCTGATGTAGAAATACAATGTGTTGCCCATACCCATGTTTCATGATTGCAAATTAATATACCATTTATGAAAAGTAGAAAACTTATACCCGTTTACATGAAAACTACAAAGAAAAAAGCACTATTTTGACATAAGCAATAGAAACATAGAACTATACTTCATCAAAACATATAACTGACCGAAGGTTGAAAATTCGGCTTTTTTAGTGATCAGTAAAAATATGGAATAAATTTAGGAGACAATAAAGTTAAACAAAAACATATTCATCGACCGATGCGCTTGAATCAATTTCAAGAACTATTTCTTATTGTTGTTTGACGGATATCTATCAGTGGCAACAGTTGCTAAATGATCATGAAAAATTTTTAAGTTCACTTACAAAAAATCATTTGCATGTCTCTTAATCATTTTGCCAATCAAATTTAATAATGGGTAACATATCAAACCTAATTTATTTAAATCTGGCCTACATAGTCAGACGTTTGCGAAGAAAGTGCCCGGTAGCACTAATGCTCAGATAATATTCACAGCGCGGAAATTAAAAACAAATATGTCTTTAAAATCCTTTTTTGCAGTAATCAAAGAGGTGTGCAGACTAGAATTTTGCGGATTCAAATCCGTGTTTGTTAGCCAAACTCATTCCGACACCTGCAAGGGTTGAGGAAAATCGAAAAGAGGAGACTGCTGTTGGAGAGCATATAATGCAGTGTGATAGTGGTTAACCGGAGTTCAATTGGACAAGATAATCGACCAGGTCACCAGCAACATTAAGTTACTTACATTAGAGGCGCTGCACTTTAGAAAAGAGAGGCCAATTAACACACTCAACGAGTTCAGAAGAAGGGAACTGACAGTAAAGCTATAATTTGGCTTACGGCTAAATCAAATTTTTTGGCTAAAACAGGAATTATTGTATAAAAATAATACATATAGCATAAAATTAGCATCACATATTAAATTCCAAAGCAAAAAAATAAAAGCACTGAAATTTGTAGCTAAATTTATAAAATGATTAAACAATTGTTATATAATAATTGCTACATATTTTTAGTAATAACTGCGATGTTTTGTTTGATTAGTTTTCTAAATTTCGAATGAATGAAGTGTAAGACACTTTTTTTGATCTCTGATCAATTTGTACATTTTTAAAACCTGATGATTAACAATTAAGTGCGGAAATTTTTGTTGAATTTACAGTTTTAACGCATAATGTCACACTTGTATATTTGAAAATATCTTCATTTGGCTTTAAAGTGTTTTTTTTTTCAATCTCAAGCATAAAAGTCAAAATTGGCGTTTTACGAAGCCGGAATAAACAGTCAAATTGAACAGTTCAAATGAACACGATATTCAAAAACTTCAATTTCAGTTTTGTCAATGGACCCTCGTAAAGTAATTGTCTGTGACAATGGCACAGGGGTAAGTTTTTCATAAACCAAATCAGTATCTTAAGTCTGCCTAGTTGGTTATGTGATTATATTAGTGTCTCTTTTTTAGTTCGTGAAGTGTGGGTATGCTGGAGACAATTTCCCCGCTCATATATTTCCATCAATGGTTGGTAGGCCAATCATTCGTTCACAGGATAAATCAAACACTGGAGGCGTTGAGTTGAAGGTACGCATACATGTTTTTGAGATTTAATTTAAACCGAGGTTGATTGATACAAGAATTACACCCGGAGGGTGTGGATGAATGAAATCCAAGAATTAGTCACAAATAAACAGCCACTACAAAGCTGATTATACCAAGAATAATGCCTGGATAATATTGATGTCACACCTCCAGGATGTCATGGTTGGAGATGAAGCATCCCAAAACAGATCTCTTCTAGACATCAAATATCCTTTGGACCGCGGAATAGTTCGAGACTGGAATGATGCGCTTATTTTATGGGAATACATTTTCTTCACAAAATTGGGTATACAGCGAGAGAAAATTAGCGAATATTACATTTTGCTAACAGAACCGCCTCAGAACCCGAAACAGAACAGGGAAAAAATGGTTGAAGTAAGTGAATTCTAAAATGAATGCATTTTTAGATGTTTTTGGTTTCGATTGCGAATATGTTTATATGTTTAGATTATGTTGAAACATTTTGGATTTGGTGCTGTTTATATTGGAATCCAAGCCGTCTTAACATTGTATGCACAAGGTTAGGTATCCGTTTTGATTGATCATTTTTAACAGATGCTGGTGTTTGAAAATCAGTTTAATAAAATTCTAAAATTGTTTTAGGATTGGTGACTGGGGTCGTGATGGATATCGGAGATGGTGTGACACATATATGTCCTGTGTACGAAGGTAGAACCAATCCCAATACAGTTAAGAGGCTGGATATTGCCGGAAGTCATATCACGGACTACCTAATTAGAGTAAGAACACGTTTTACAGTTTCCTTTGTTAAAAGCAAGTCAAACTCTTCTAGCGAACAGTAAAAGTATAAAGGTCATAGCAAACATGAGCAACTTCTTATTTCGGAAATGGATTTTAATCATCAGTTTTCCCAGAAAAGTTTAACTATTGATCCAGTTTTCTCGAGTTGGGTTAATCTCATCAAAAAAGTGTCAATCATAAATTGTTCTAGAAATTCAGAGCTTAGGGCGATCTTTTTTTGAAATTTTTTTTGGGTATAATAGTTTTTGGCCATAATTGTAATGTGCGACTGGCAAAAACGAAGCAGTTCTATAAATTTAGCTTCAAGCTGGCCGTTTTGCTAATTTTGCCGTTTTCTTCACACAAATTTCATCAATGTAAGCCCGAATACGTTTTCAATCGTGGTTTTGATTCCTATTTTGGGCTTATTTGTAAGTTACCTCAACGCTCGAGATATCAACCTAGCATTTAATACACTTGCGAAGCGAGTGTGTTAGTTCGAACCTTCTTTTTTTCCAACCAAAATCGCAAATATTGGTGCCACTTTTGGAGCACCTTTACAGTTTTTTCATAGCATGTGCTTTGACGTTCGAATAGTAATAGGTTAACCCAGTTAATGCATTTTTAATTCATCGAAAGAATCGATAAAAATGATTTGTTTCAAACAACATAACAATAATGAAAACTCGATTTCAGAAATTTTCCAAGTCATTATATCTCGCATTCTTTTGAAATGCATAATTTATGCAATATGTGGCATTATGCTTTGCGGTTTGTTACATGAAAAGTTAGTGTGGTTGCCTTCAGCTTGTTATATTCCAACTTATTACTAGCAAAATTGAATCTATTGTATTTGGTGCCACTTTTGCTGAATTGATTGGCACTTTTAGCATATAAAGCTGCTTTCTTCATGAATAGTGTTTGTAGGTTGTTAAGCTTGCGTGGCTGAGTGGATAGTGCGTGAGACTCAAAATCTCTTCATTGCAGTGGGTCGCAGATTCGAATCCTAGTCAAGTTTTTGCTAATTCGAGGTTTATTATACTTTTTTTTAATCTATCTATATCTATCTATCTATCTATACTATATCTATACTATATTTAAATGCGAATGACAGCTATCTCCCATGTTTAAGCATAATAATTCTGCATGTTTACCGTAAGAATTTTTCCATTTTTAAGCTATAGCATATATTGCCATGCTTAAGAAAATTTTACAATTAGTTTTTCGCAAGGTAATTAATTTGTCAATATTTTTGTCCAGGCCAAATTAAGTATGTCTGTCTGTATACTTGCTTTTTAAATTAATTTGTTTTTGTCTGTCTACCCGTCGCCTAATTTTTTTCAACTTTCATCTATCTATCTATTATATATTTAAATGCGGGCTTCACTATCTCGCCATGGTTAAGCCTTTTCAACGTATTATTTTTGCGTATTTTGCAACCCCCTGGGTACTCTGAGGGGTTGCGAATCGTGCCTCCAATTCTCACTGCTCAAATTTTTGTAGTTTCAGAGATATGACGTTTTGTATGATTTTTTTCAAAAAATTTTCAAGAACTTAGATTTAAAAAAAAATTCCAAAAAGTTGAAGATCTCAATCCTGTTGTTGGATATTGTGAGAGTCCTCTCAGGGGTTGCGAATCTTACCTTTGATTATGGCTGCTCAAATCCTTGTAGTTTTCGAAATAAGACGTTTTTTTTGGATTTTTTGATATTCGCATATGACTGCTCAAATCTTTTAGAGATATGACGTTTTTTAGGATTTTCTCAAAATTTTTTAGTGAATGTAGATAAAAAAAAATTTCACAAAACTTGGAATTACCTTCTATGTAGTGAGACTCTGTCAGGGTACTCTCAGAAGTTGGGAATTTTCCTTCCAAACATGACTACTCAAAACCTTGCGGTTTTGAGATATGACGTTTTTTTTGGATTTTTTCAAAATTTTTCAGAAAACTTAGATATAAAAAATTTCCTAAAATTTGATATTCGCATCTCTGTGGTGGGGCTTTGTCAGCTTAATCTCAGGAGTTAAAAATTTCGCCGCCAAATTTGACTGCTCAAATCCTGGTAGTTTTTGAGATATGACGTTTTTTTGGGATTTTTTCAAAGTTTTTCCGAAAACTTGGGTATAAAAAATTTCGCAAAACTTGAAGTCCTCATCTCTGTAGTGAGGCTCTGTCAGGGTACTCTCAGGAGTTGCAAATTTTGCCTCCCAATAGAATTGCAAATTTTGCCTCCAAATAGGACTGCTCAAAATCTTGTAGTTTTCCAGATATGACGTTTTTTGTGATTTTTTCAGAAAAATTTCATTAAAATTAAAGTAATTTTTTTTTGAAAGTTTGAAATTCCTAACCTGTAGTTGGGGGGGGGGGCGGTGGTGTCAGAGTAATCCCTGGGGTTGCAACTTCGGCCTCCAATAAAGAAAGAATGCCCAAATCATTTTTGTTTAAGAGATACGACGATTTTGTTAGTGACATTCCCAACCTTGTAGTTGTGTACGTTCAAAGATTGCGAATTTTGCCATCAAAAAAGATTGCTCAATTTTTGCTAGTTTGCGAGATGTGAATTTTTTTCTGGTTTTCGAAAAAATACCTCTTTTACAAAACTTAAGGTGAAGTTTCAAAGTTTGAATTTCCCAACGTTGTAGTTGGTTCTGTAAGAGTACTTTCAGGAGTTGCAAATTTTGCGTCCAAATGCGACTGATCAATTGCTTTCAGTTTCCCAGATGTGACATTTCTTAATACATTATATACTTATATGTAAAAAATGTCACAAATTTAAATGGTTTTTTCAAAATTATGGTTTTTTTTTAAAAAAGCTTTCAGTTTCCCAGATTTGACGTTTCTTACATCATTTTAAGTTTTTCGAAGATTTTCTACAAAACTTTATGGTTCTTCAAAATTTGTATAAAAAACTTGAAAAAATAATTTTTCTAAATTTTCAATTACGAACCCTGTAATTGGGTGCTGTCCAATTAAACCTAAAGAATAGTTTTTTTGAGTGGTTGAAAACTCGAAGCACCGGAGGTGCGTTACACGCTATTTTAACTTGATAGAGCTGCTTTTTGGTCGTGTTCTCGCAATTTTTTTGACTCGGTGTTATTATTTTTATTATTATAATTATTACAAGCTAAATCGCAAATATTAGTGTTCATTTTGTACACAAGCAAAGCTTGTGTGATTTTGAAAGTGTTCATTTTGATCAATAAACAGCTGCTAAGTATAGCCAGTGCTATGGATATTAACATAGACCTTTATATTACAAATAGCATTTTAGCTTCAAGGTATCATGGATCTATAGGGAAGGAGACCAGCAACAAATAAGATTGTTCGAACTTGGGCAGGGTCGGATGTTTGTGATGAACTTCTTAGTATACTAGTTAAAATGCGTCCGCTCTATGAATTGAGGCATGTTAGTTGGTAAATTTATTTTTTATTGCAAATTGACTGGTACTGCTAATGTGACTCATAATTAGCGTGCGTCCTTTAACAAAGTTTGTAGACTCAAAGTTTTACTCATTCAGTTTTTCCCAGCAGCGGTATCGGTCTTATTTTTGCTTGTGTATGCAAAGTGTAACTTCGCCTCCGTGTTATTATTATGATTATTATGATTATTATTATTATTATTATTATTATTATTATTATTATTAATTTTACTATTATGATTATCTTTATAATTAATTTAATGATTATTGTTATTTTTATTATTATAATTATTATGATTACCTTATTATCTATCTATCTATCTATCTATCTATCTATTTATCTATCTATCTATCTATCTATACCATATTTAAATGCGAGTGACAGCGATCTCCCATGTTTAAGCATAATAATTTTGCATGTTTAATGAAAGATTTTTTTCATGTTCAAGCTATATCATATATAGCACTGCTTAAGAAATTGTTTCAATTAGTTTTACGCAAGGTCATAAATTTTGAGTAATTTTTTTGTGATGCCAAATTAAGTCTGTCTGTCTGTATACCTGCTTTTTATTTAATTTTATTGTCTGTCTACTCGTTTCCTAGTTTTTTAACTTTCAGCTATCTACTATTGTATATTTAAATGCGGGCTTCGCTATCTCGCCGTGTTTAGGCTTTTCCAACTTATAATTTTTGCTTGTTTTACAAAAGAATTTTTTCACGTTTAAGCTATGTCGTATATTGCTATGGTAAATGTTTTTTTTTTCGATTTTCCAGTAAAAATTCAGTGTTTATTTCATCAAGTTTGGAATTAGCAACCTAATAGTAGGATGTTGTCAGAGATAGAAATTTTCGAGATTTTTCAAAATTTTCTAGAAAAGTTAATTTTAAAAAATTTCTGAATTTTAGAAATTCTCACCTTGTAGTTAGGTGCTTTCAGGGTACTCTCAGGGATCGCGAATCTTGCCTCCAAATCCAACTTCTCAAATCCTTGTATTTTTCAAGATATGACGTTATTTAAGATTTTTTCAAAAAAACAGATTTTTAAAATTTCCAAAATGTTGAAGATCTTATTCCTGTTGTTGGATGTTGTGAGGGTACTCTCAGGGGTTGCAAATCTTGCCTCTGGTTATGGCTACTCAATTTGTTGTAGTTTTCGAGATATGACGTTTTTTAGGATTTTTTTTTCAAAATTTTTCAGAAAACTTAGATTTAAAAAAATTCCTAAGATTTGATATTCGCATCTCTGTGATGAGGCTCTGTCAAGGTACTCTCAGGAATTGCGAATTTCGTCTCCAAATATGACTGCTCAAATCTTTTAGAGATATGACGTTTTTTAGGATTTTCTCAAAATTTTTTAGTGAATGTAGACAAAAAAAAATTTCACAAAACTTGGAATTACCATCTATGTAGTGAGCCTCTGTCAGGGTACCCTCAGAAGTTGGGAATTTTCATTCCAAATATGACTACTCAAAACCTTGCGGTTTTCGAGATATGACGTTTTTTTGTGATTTTTTCAAAAAAAGTTTCATGAAAGTTAAATTATTTTTTTTTCCAAAGTTTGAAATTCAACGTTGTAGTTGGGTAAGAGTACTCTCAAAATTTGCAAATCTTGCGTCCAACTATGACTGCTCAATTGCTTTTAGTTTCTCAGATGTGACATTTCTTAGTTCATTTTAAATTTTTCGAAGAACTTAAATAAAACTGGAACAAAAAACTTTGCAAAATTTGTAATTACGAACCTTGTAATTGGGTGCTGTCAGAATACACTCAAAGAATGCAGATCTTATATCCAATATATGCGGTTTATTATGAGTACCGGAGGTGCGTTATTGGTTAGTTATTATTACTTTCTAAATAAAACCGATCCAATTGTGTAATAAAAATTTTCAATTTCATTTTTTATCTTTCAGGGGGGTATAACTGAAAAGACCCGTTTTTTCAATAAACAGTCAGTATTTGTTCTGTTAACTTGCGTTCATTGACCCTTTTCCAGCCGTCTGTTGGGTACGTTTGTTTTTTTATTTGCAACGCAGCGGTCTTTTTTTATAGTTATTACAACTGCGAGGATACGCTTTCAACAAGAGTTCCGATGGCGACATTGTGAGAGAGATAAAAGAGAAATTGTGCTACATCAGGTGAGGCATTAGTATTATTATGGTTTGTGCAGTCATGTTCTATAATTAGCTCATGATATCCCATTTTGTATAATAACATTCATTCATAATATCTGTGCTTATTTTAGTTATGATACACAAGAAGAGCAAAAGCTAGCTGAAGAAACTACAGTCTTAGTTGAACAGTACCAAGTAATCATATTTAAATGTTCAAATTTTGTTGTCTGAACTTTTGACGGATATGCTCGGTTTTGTTTTAGCTAGAAGATGGCAGAAATGTGAAACTGAGCAGTGAACGATTCCAAGCTCCGGAAATATTATTCCAACCACATTTATTTAATGTTGAAAGTAAGCAGTTTGCTCAATTTAATTCGTGTCATAATTGTTTAGAGCGGATTAAGGTTCATCATGGCAATCTGATGCTCAAAACAAGCATTTAAACATCATTTTGAATAAATTACATCTGATCAAAGATGAGACTTCTGTATTGTTTACATTACAAACCATGCAAATTATATCCCAAAAGGCTTGCATGAACTGCAATTTAAACTGCATTTTCTCTAGCCCTATATCATTTTCATGCAGTCATGATGAAGGCTGTAAAAAATTTATTTAAATATGTTTTTCTAATAAAAATAAATATGTTTTTGTTTCATCTTTAAAAATAAATAAATAAAATATATTTTTGGTGGTATCTTCGAAAAAAAATATCATTGGAGAATCATCATTTATTGATAATCTCGTTCTCATTTTTACATTTAAGAGACACTTATTTACATACAAAAAATGTTCCTCGAATTTAAATGTAAATACATTGCTGCAAACGTGTTAAGTGAGTTGAACAAAACATATTTGAAATCAACGCCTATTTCGCGACCCAATTTTATGCCAAGCTTCTTGAACAATAGTTCAATACAGCCCTGGTCATGAGGTGAAAGAAAAGAAATAATCATTTTTTTGTGCAGAACAGTTTTTTTTAGCTGACCGGTTTTTAACAGATTCAAAACAATTGACAAGTCAGAACTCTTAAGTTCAAAAGCGGCATTGGCAAGTAGCGAACGCTTGATTAGCTCCGCTGCACTTACCTTCGGCGCGAGAGGAGCTGTGTGCGTAAATCAGTGCTTGCCGGTAAGCTGTTTGGTTTTGCTTTGAGTTCTGTTGACAAACCTTGATGATTTTCTTAATTAGAGAATATCAAACCCCAAATTACGCGGTAGCTTCATACAGTGCTGATTTAAATTATCCGGGCAAAACGAACAAAACTTGAATTTTCAAACGCGTTCTTCTCAAATTGGGTTAAGATTAGACAAAAAGTGAAAAGGACAAAAGTTGCTTAGAATTTCACCAGAATTAATATGGTGCCATTTTTTCTCCGAAGTTCTCAACAAAAATTTTACCCCAAAAATGGGTAAATTTGGCTTTTTTCAATTAATCAAGAATTACGCTGAAACTACTTTGTTAATTGATATGAAAATTATATCACAGGAAGCCTCTTACACAGCTCAACAAAGTTTAAGCAGAATTAAATCTCCTAAAATTTGCGCAAATTGTTTAAAATTTATTTTTCAACAGATTCTGAGTTTTATATAGTAAAAATCACATTTATTGACTATCAAGTAAAATTTTTTTCATTTATACTGGTTTTTGGAGATTTAACCCTTCTTAAACTTTGTTGAGCTGCGTAAGAGCCTTCCTGTGATATAATTTTCATATCAATTAACAAAGTAGTTTCAGCGTAATTCTTGATTAATTGAAAAAAGCCAAAAAGACCCATTTTTGGGGTAAAATTTTTGTTGAGAACTTCGGAGAAAAAATGGCACCATATTGATTCTGGTGAAATTCTAAGCAACTTTTGTCCTTTTCACTTTTTGTCTAATCTTAACCCAATTTAAGAAAAACGCGTTTGAAAATTCAAGTTTTGTTCGTTTTATCCGGATAATTTAAATCAGCACTGTACTTCGATCAAACAGTTAATTGGCTAATCAAATCAGTTGTCAATCAAAGTCTATTAAAAAGCTATTTTCAACTTTTTATGCTAAAAAACCGGTCTGTTAAAAAACCAATCCCCCATTTTGGGATATCTATTTTCGGCGATATATTAGCATAGATGGTAAATTTTAATAAAGCGAACAAAAATGTCTTTTGTTGGATTGGAACAACAATCCTGCAAAAGTCAGCTGGACTTCGTAAAAGTCATGTTGGGATTAAATTGAACAATGTTGTTCTAGCACACGCGACCGTAGTCGGGCTACACTGAGCTCAAATCCAAATAGGGACCTCTTTTTAGTACTCGAATCATGTCATTCAAATGTTCCACCTTTTTACACCGCTCTTTTTTGATATGTCGAGGTGATTTGTCCGTCATTTTTTAAATTTTTAAGTGATGGAAGCTTTCATAGTTTGATATGCTTAGATTTAACAAAATAATAATGGTTTTCGTACCGGGGCAGGGCTGATCCAGAATTATAGCAAGCTTTTCTGGCTTAGATCAAACAAGGTTTATCTTATTAGACTTTTTTTTTCTTTTTAATTTGCGACAGACAAGTTTTCGGAAATGATTCAACAAAAAAAATTGATGTTTTTTAGCGAGATTATCCTTCAAATTGAAGGCTCCGCAAAAATGCTAGTGAACCGGTCGAAATTGCATGTCGTAGAAAAAATTTTTTGCCCCTTTGAGAACTATTTTGTCATTTTCCAAACTTGAAACCAATGAAAGACACCAGCTACTCCCCTGTGTGACTCGATATTTTGCTAGTCTCTTTTTACTTCGAAAATTTCAGTGGGTGGGAATGTTTACCCAATTTTTTTTGGATTATTTTTTTTTCGAAATTTTGACCTTTGTTTGGAACTAAATTTACTTTTCTCTCTTCGTAGCGGCTACGCCTGAATTTTGTAAGAAAGCAGTGTTGGACTCAGCAAAATTTGATGATTTGGAAATTTTTTGATTTTCTCGAAAACTACGGTGCCAAATCTGAGATAAAGGGTTCAATCGAAAGAACAAGCTCTAAGAGTATAACCTGCTTAAGCAATTTTTTCCAATTTCTGCTAAGATTCTGCTATGGACTGGAGAAAAATTTAACCTGTTGACCCATTTTTCGACCTCGTTTAATTTCTGAAAAACGACCGTGCGAATTCTAAAAGAAATCAAACGTAGATGTAATCTCTCCTGCAAAAGCGTGCCCTCCAAAATTTTGTTGAAATGAATCAGCTATGGACTTGTGTCCAATTTTTGTAAATGTCGGAATTTTGGACACATTTTTTGAAAATTACGCATTACCTTTCGCATCAGTACATTAAAAAAAACATTATCAAACAAGTTCCTCAAGCCTTAGCTGGGCTCGTAGCGTTCAACCATTATTAAGCGGCCATGGAGTAGACGCTAGGACGTGTGACTTTTAATCTCCATCTCGGGGGTTCGATACCGGCACAGCAGAATTTTTAGAACTACTTTTTGCCTTTTTCTCGCCTGGGATTGCGAAGTGCAGCTTTGACGCTGAGGTTTTCGGAAATGATTCAACAAAAAAAATAAATGTTTTTTGGCGAGATTATCCTTCAAATTGAAGGCTCCGCAAAAATGCTAGTGAACCGGTGGAAATTGCTTGTCGTAGAAAATTTTTGCCCCTTTGAGAACTATTTTGTCATTTTCCAAACTTGAAACCAAGTTTGGAAAACTTGGTTGGAAAACTGCGTGCCTCGATATTTCGCTAGTCTCTTTTTACTTCGAAAATTTCAGTGGGTGGGAATGTTTACCCAAATTTTTTTTTGGATTTTTTTTGTTCGAAATTTTGACCTTTGTTTGGAACTAATTTTACTTTCCTCTCTTCGTAGCGGCTACGCCTTAATTTTGTAGGAAAGCAGTGTTGGACTCAGCAAAATTTGATGATTTGGAAATTTTTTGATTTTCTCGAAAACTACGGTGCCAAATCTGAGATAAAGGGTTCAATCGAAAGAACAAGCTCTAAGAGTATAACCTGCTTAAGCAATTTTTTCCAATTTCTGCTAAGATTCTGCTATGGACTGGAGAAAAATTTGACCTGTTGACCCATTTTTCGACCTCGTTTAATTTCTGAAAAACGACCGTGCGAATTCTAAAAGAAATCAAACGTAGATGTAATCTCTCCTGCCAAAGCGTGCCCTCCAAAATTTTGTTGAAATGAATCAGCTATGGACTTGTGTCCAATTTTTGTAAATGTCGGAATTTTGGACACATTTTTTGAAAATTACGCATTACCTATCGCATCAGTACATTAAAAAAAAACATTATCAAACAGGTTCCTCAAGCCTTAGCTGGGCTCTTAGCGTTTAACCATTATTAAGCGGCCATGGAGTAGACGCTAGGACGTGAAGTGTGACTTTTAATCTCCATATCGGGGGTTCGATACCGGCACAGCAGAATTTTTAGAACTACTTTTTGCCTTTTTCTCGCCTGGGATTGCGAAGTGCAGCTTTGACGCTGTGTAAAAGTGTTTCAACATGGTTGAAAGTGTGTAAGTAAAGTGCAGAATGAAAGATTTTGACGCTAATTTTTGATGATCCAGTTCTTGAAATTGGTATGCATGAACATTTTTAGTCTTAGGATGGGTTACATATTTTAAGACCATTTATCCACTGGGGAAAGGACCAACACAAGAGCTGTACAGCTCATCACGGCGAACCGCTGTTGGGCCCCTGTTTACATATTTAGTCTTAGGATGGATTTATACTGGTTATTGTTAATAGTTGATCTTAAGATAGTTACAAGTATCCGGGAGCGTATTATCTCTGATTAAGGGGATAGTTTTTGGACTTACAATATATGATTGCATTTTCAGGATTGATTGCTTACTGGAAATCGAACTTGGTTTTGAATGTGGGAAAAAGGAATTAAATTAGTTGCTCAGCTATTTCAAAACAAAAGGAAAGCAATGAAAATGTATGAACTGAAATTGTAATTAGTCAAAAGGTGGGACATCGTTGGAACCAGTTTAATAATTCACTTGCAATTAAAAACATAAATTTTAATTGGCCTGCCCCTTTACTTTTAAAAAGTTATAGCCAGTAGTTAATAAATTATGATCTCAATTTAGAGGCGGGTTGTGCGGAGCTGCTGTTTGAATCTGTGAACCAATGCGACATGCAAATCAGACTGGAGATTTTCAAGCATGTGGTTCTCTCTGGTGGATCTACTATGTTGCCCGGATTCCCCTCCCGCCTGGAGAAGGAGATCAAACAGCTGTACCTGGAGAGGACTCTCAAAGGAGACAAGTCCAGACTATCGGTGAGTCACGGCGATTAATTGGGCTGAAACAGAAACTAAATCACTAGTTATACAAGAACTCCGTCGAGATGACTGAAACTTGATGATATATCTATGCATGGCGATTTCTGAGGGACTGATTGTTGTTTCTTTGAAGTAATAGATCCGTAATTATGTCATATTTACGGTTGTAGAAGTTCCGCGTGAAGGTCGAGGACCCCCCGAGGCGGAAGCACATGGTGTTCCTGGGTGGGGCAGTGCTTGCCAACATCATGAAGGACAAAGTGGATTTCTGGATCACGAAAGAAGAATTCAGCGCGGGTGGCATGGAGGGAATCAGGAACAAACTCACTCCTCCAACTGCTGTTTAATTAACGAAAAGAAAAGAGTTCTTAGAAAGAGGAGCCTATAATTCAAACAAAACACAGATGAACTGACACCTAAATGAGGCAACAAGAAGGCTAGCATTCTTTAAAGAGTAGTCTTGTATCGTTTCTCTATATAATTCGATTCTATCTCGCCAAGCAAAGCACCGCTTCAATTTTTCCATTTCTTGATTGTACCGATTTATTGATTTACTCCTAGACCTATCTAATTGCGACTTGAGTTTCGATGATTTTGATATCTGGAAAATCAATTTAAAATGTAATATTGGTTAGCTTGGCTGAAATTAATCTAATTTATGCACATTGGGTGAACCGCTTAATTTGATATAATTTCATCCAGCGTCAAAATTTCATCGCTGATTATGTTTTTGTTGAATAATGTTATTGAAAATATTGATAAATTGTACCAAAATTTTGCCTTGTGAGCTTAAATGAATCAAGTCAGATGTTTTCTAGCCATATTTTTGTACATACTTTCCAGATCTTTATCTTACTAATTATGATGTAATTAATGCTATTCAATTAAGTTTGTTGAAGTCATCAAACGTCTCTTTTGCAAGCTACAGAAGTAATAAATGATTGATCTGAGAGCAATCGATGTGAAGAAAATTAACAACTAGTTTTCTCTTGCTTTTTAAAGTTTTGGTTGAATCTACTAACATGACAAATCTGAGCTTCAATCAAGTTCTAGAAATGTTATCGCCGCGTCAATCGTGGAAAAAAAACTTTTCGGTTGAAAATTTGTCGGGATTTTTGCTGCATGATTTTCTTAAAAACCATGAATCGCTCGCTGAATATCGAGCTGGTATTGGTTACGCTTCTATCAGCAAGCGTTATTAAATCGGAACATAGATTTTTTGCTAGTAAACAAATTGTCGAACGAAATCAGTTGTTTGATATTTTGGTTCATAATCAGCTTAAATTGTGGGCAGAATGCTGCACGTTTAGCCTGGCTTTTCAAAGGTAAAAAGGTCGAATCCGACCAGGATATAATTTAACTATGGTAAAAGTAATGGTCGGATTATCATTTGTTTGCTTATTAGGAGTCAATGAACGTAGTTAAGATTCTGATATAGGTGTTGTGTTAAGAATCTTATATGAATTTATTGCTTTTTCTTTATAGGAAAAGTCTTAAAACTTAATCTTGCTGAAATTGGTTTTTTAAAAAGTAATGAACGTAGTGAAGACTCTTATATAGCTCTTGATCATTTTTTTTTCAGGAAAAAGTCTTGAAATGCTCTAAAAACTACAGAGGTGCATTCATACAAATTAATGCATTCATGAATGCATTTGAGTAAATATGCACATTTTGAATTTAATTGAAATTCATCTGCTAAAAGTTACCTAAATAGCACTCTCCAAATACGAACGTGGAAATGGCGCGAAAAAACGAACCATTTTTCAGTTTCGAAAGTGGAATTTTATTTTGATACTTCCAGCGGAATAAAAACTTGTTGATCCCGTTTTGTCAAAATGGGTTAAGGTTATCAAAAAGGGCCAATCATAAATTGTTCTCGAAATTCAAAGAGCTTAAAGGGCATCTGTTTTTATCTTTGAAATTCGATAAATGAGATTTTTTCTACTGAGACAGTGTTTTTTTTTCGGTTTACTTGGGTTTATTACCGTTTTCCAATTGTCAGTTTTGCATATTGACTTAAGATTTCTTTTCAAGTTCAGCTAATTTCTTTAGTTAAAAGGACCAAAAACTCAGCTAACAGCAAAAACGCAATGGTCACGAAAAATGTGATCGACTTCGAATTTCGAAAAGGGTTTTAATTTTCAGATTCTTAGCGGAACGAAAACTTTACCTATTGATCTTCTTTCAACGAAACGAGTTTTTTGTTATCAAAAAGTGTCGATCATTAATTAATCTTGAAATATAAAGAGCCTTAAATTCATTTTTTGAATTTGAAATTTTCAAAAAGCAGTTCACTGTTGTTACTGTTTCCTGGTGTTCATTAACCCTTTTCCAACTGTCAGTTGGCTGTTTATTGTTGGCAGAGCACGGATTTTGCTAATGTTTAAAGCAATGTTCACTAAAATTGAAAATCGTTTTGATGTATTCTTGTAACGGTGCAGCTAATAGTGTTGTTTCCAATAATCTATCTATGCTATATTTAAATGCGAGTGACAGCTATCTCCCATTTTAAATCATAATATTTTTGCATGTTTAACGAAAGAATTTTTTCATGTTTAAGCTATATCATATATTGCAATGCTTGAGAAAGTTTTTCAATTAGTTTTCCGCAAGGTCAATAATTTTTCACTATTTTTTCGAGGCCAAGTTAAGTCGCCTGTCTGTATATCTGCTTTTTGATTGAATTTGATTGTATGTTTACCCGTCTCCTAATTTTTTAACTTTCAATTTGGTTTCGACGATTCAGTTCAAAATAATACTACTGTCAAATGGTTGTCTCCAATTCTTTATCTTAATCTGGAATTTCTATCTGTTTTTCTGTCTTTTTTTTAATCCTTCTTTTTCGATCTCTTTTCTATTTTTTTCTATCTTCCTTTTTTATTTATTCTATCTTTTTTTCAATCCTTCTTTTTCGTTCTTTTTTTCAATCTTTTCGATCCTTTTTTTTATCTGTGTTTAATCTTTCTTTTTCTCTTTTTTTTTCCTTGATCTTTCTTCTTCGATCTTTTTTTTTCTATTTTTTTCGATCCTTCTTTTTCGATATTTTTTTCTTTCTTTTTTTCTATCTTTCTTTTTCTTATTTTTTTTTCAATCCTTCTTTTTCGATCTTTTTTTATTATCTGTTTTTAAAAAAATTTTGTTCCTTTTTTTCGATGCTTCTTTTTCGATCTTTTTTTCATCTTTTTCTATTTTTTTTTTCGATCCTTCTTTTTTGATCTCTTTTTCTCTATCTTTTTTCTCTATCTTTTTTCTATTTTTTTCTCTGTCTGTTTTTTCTATCTTTTTTCGATCCTTCTTTTTAAACCTTTTTCTGTCTTTTTTCTGTATTTTTTTTATCCTTCTTTTTTAACCTTTTTTTATCCTTCTTTTTGATCTTTTTTTCTCTATTTTCTTAAAATATTTTTTGAGCCTCCTTTTTCTTATATTTTTTTAAAATCTTTTTTCGATTTCTTTTTCAATCCTTCTTTTCGATCTTTCATATATATATTTTTCTAAATTTAAACTTAAGTTTTCAAAAAACTTGATATGACGTTTTTTATGATTTTTCGAATGAATTTCGGAAAACTTAACAAAAATTGTTTTCAAAGTTTAAATTTTCTAACCAGGTAATTGGGTGCTGTCAGAGTACATTAAAAGGCTGCAGATCTGGTTTCCAATATATGCGGGTTTTCATGAGTTGTCAAAAGTTCGAAGCACCGGAGGTGCTTTACACGCTAGTAAGAAATGAAAAATCCGTTCTAGAAGCTCCCAAATTATCAGCTGGTAACATAAGTTTCATAATTGCGCATGTGGATAAAAGATAGTTGAAACATCCCCAATGAAGCAGTTCCGTGCATGGACTTCCGGTTAATAAGTCTTGGCCGAACAGTGTATTGAGGTTGAAAACAATTCGGCTAATTTTAATTATGTACTGGTTAAAGTAATGAGTGGACCTTATATCGACCAATCTTCAATCAAGTAAAACTAGTTTGGCTTTTATGACTGACTTGGTTTGTTTACGCTTGCGATTAGCAAGCGTTATTATGCTGGAATATAGATTTTTTCGGGTTAACAATTTAAACAGAATCATTTGATAGCTTGCTTTATTAATGAATTTAATTTTTATGAAAATGTGGGTACAGTAGTGTGGTGGTACAGAGCGGGTTCATGTCGCGAAGGATCAAACTTTCGAGTCCGAGACCATGCCAGTCGATCAACGTCGTTAAGACTTATACAGGATGCAATGATTTTTAGTTTTTTTACAGGAAAATTTTTCTTAGGCTCAAGTTTACTTTTCAAAGTCAGATTCTTTATTGTAATCTAGTACTAGACTTTTCGTAAATAAGTTTAATCACAGGACTCATTTGGTCTCCTGGTTCTACCTTGGCTTTTATTGATGTCAAATTTCTTAGTGTCTCCTGCCCACTTAGGCTGGAGGTAACGAATAAGCCTGGGACGGCAATAGTCCTGGGATCGAATCTGACTAGGACTTGTTTCTTCAAACGGTTCAAAAAGTTTTGGCCTTTTATATGTCAGTTGATGTTTTTTGGCTTAGTTGCAATATATAAAAATCGTGTTTTTACTGCAAACAATTTTCACTGTAGTGGCTTCAAGTTCTCGATCAATTTTTGTAGTCCGGACGAATCGAAATTTGTTTTTTAAATTGGTTGTAGTTTTACTAGCTCGATATGTGAAAATTTCATTATTTTTTCTGATGTTTTGTCTCTTTCATCAGTTCAATAAGTTTCGGTTTAATTTATATCGACTTAGTGGACTCCTCTTGCGTCGTTTGGGGATCGAAAAAACTTTAGTGTGCGTGCGTGTGTTCTGAGGGGAAAAGGGACGAAAATATTTAAATTAGCTCAGATTTTTTTGAATTTTTTAATCGGCGTGAAAGGTTTCTGCTCAGATATTTTCGGCTTTGTTACCGCTTGGTTTTTTAATAAGCTCAAATTTAATCAAACATGCGGCACATTTGGAGTAGACGTGACCGGACTGCTTGAGACCGCAAAAGGTTTAGGTTCGAATCCGACCGGATTTTTGCAAGTTTCTCGAGTTTTTGTGTCTTTTGGCTATCGTCCGTCTGTTTATTTTTGTCGCCTTAGTTCCCGTAGCCTGACTTTTTTAAGGTTTAGCTTTCTTCCAAGTTGCTTGAAACTCCATGCTTCAGACGACACAGCCCGGGAGTTCGATTCCAGTCGAGACCTGTTTTTTCGCACATAGAAATATTTCGGCTAATTTAGATTGTTGTCGGCCTGTCTGCTTTTTTTGTCGGCTAAGTTCCGCAGTTTTGAAAATTTGTTTCTTCCTAGCATGCTGAAAACTCTTTGTAAAAATCCTGATTGACAACCACGATTTTTGAAATTTATTTTATTTTTTTTTCCGTTTGATTTTAACCATAGTCATTTATATTTGAATCGCAAGTGGTGCAAAGCTCTAATGCACGCGCCGTATTCATCTCGTGCCCAATGTAACCGCAGCAGAGCAAGCGTATTCTATTTGCCAATGACTTGTTACGAATTGTCGCTTGTGGAGAATTGTCGTTTGTTACGAATTGAAGCTTTTTGTTTCGACCATTGAAAATGGAAAGGAACTTTGTATTCGGGTGTTTTAATTTTTTTCTTTTTTCAACTTTTTTTGTTTTTCTGGCAAAACTAGGTACCACAAATAATCATCGGAAAGGGTAAAAATGATATATCATTTTAAAGCCTTTTTAGTCTTGATTCGAATGACTTTAAAAAATGTAAATGTTTTCTCAGTATCGAGAAAAACCAATTTGAAATTTTCGATTTTTAGTCTTATTTCGAACGAATAAAGCAAGCGAGCAGGCGTATAATAGGCTTTTGATAGAAGAAAGATAAGACTATTCACGCTCTGAACACTTAAATTTGCTCTAGTTAAATTAGTAAAACGCAAAAAAAAAAATTGCAAAAAATATATATTTTTTTAAACTATTTTTTTTCTGATCATTGTTTGCATAAAACTGTTGCCCATCTTGTCAATTTTACGAAGAGTGTCGAAT